CTCCCAAAATGGTAAAAAATAACACGTCTTTGTTACGGCTTGCCGATGTAGCTGGAAATCACCCCTGATTTATATAGATTCAATGAACTTCTGTTTATGCATCATTGTCCCGGGAAGCCTCATCGAGAATATTGATCCATTTTATAGAGGTCGAACAGGTTTTACAAAAATAACAATGCTATCAATGAGGGCTAACACTTTCAATAACATGAGGTCAATGTCAGAGTCGAAAATCCCAAAGTTTTGCCGGATAGCATGTATGCTCCATGCCCGAGTATTACTAATTGGAACTTTGGAGTATATTGACACCCATATTGACACCCATATAATATTTGAGGTGAAGCTCACTAAAACTTATTGAATCATGCTCTTTGCCGTTGATGAATACCATTCAGGTAATATTATCCATAACATAGGGAATAATGTGGGTGCATCTTGAATTTTCAGATGAAATCATCCTATTCATCTATGATCTGGCTGTTGTTCATAACGCTCATGATTCAATTATTTCGTATCATTATCCTTGTCTTTCATTCAGAAAGAAGGAAGATTGAGCTATATACAAGGTGGCATTGAAATTAGGGCAAATATTTCAAACACTGAGAAAGCTTGACGTGTACTATCGAATGGCACTAATAAAATAATTTTAGGGATCAAAATGAAATTTGAGGTAATACCCCTTTTTCCATCCAAAGTTCTACACTGTAGCAAATTTGACGTCACCTCTGTTCAAATTTCCATGCGGTAGGCACAATCACGCGGAGTTCAATCATTCAAATTGTTTTAAAGTGGCGTACTTGATTTTTTTCTCGTATTTTGTTCAATTATTGAAATGGAATTTCTTGTTCAATAAAAGAATTGAAAGAAAATCTAGTATCATGGGAATATTCCTTAGACTGTATTATATTGATATGCTGAATATGTGCACTTATTTCAAAAACACCTTGTATATTGCGATGATACTGTATTGAAAGTATCTCATTCGAGGGAATAACATTATGCACTTCTCCATTTAGTCTTCTTCATGCACTATTGCTTTTTACTTGCCAGTTGTATTTTGTCTTCGATTTTATATCGATGAGTATTTGCTCGAATGACGTGAAACTCTTCGGACGTAAGTACCCTATTTGATAGTCGCATCAATAGACTTCCAGCCCTGAATTCCCAATCACGCTTACCATTCCACACCCTGGATTTGTCGATTTATCTTTTCATTCGTTCCATCTGTATCTCTCAAGGCGCCACAGGGAGTCTTCATTCGATACCCAACATCCAATATCATTTCCTTGATTTCCGCTTGTAAAGAAAATAGCAGCAGCTCATCATACAATCTCTATATTTCTGATGTTCCAGACGAAATGAGAGTGATGTTTATATCTGCTTCAACAACAAGCAGTGGCGTACCAATGATCACCTTAAGAAGTAAGTAGGTTTATCGAAATCGCTCATTGTCATCAAAATTATTATTAAAAAAAATTCTCTAATATGATCCTGGCTTTGGGAAAGATCAATTTGGAAACAAACAGACAAATGCGGATTCTTAAAAAAACGGATTGAATATCATCCATAGGACTAACATCATAATGTAAATATATTGAGCTACTAACCACATGACAATCTATAACGTGGGACTCTCGACACCAACTACTGCTAATTACGCTTCAATCAATAATTCAATGAAATAACCTTGATGCTCGAAAGATGTCTACGATATCACGTTATAGACATCTATCATTATATCATATTAAGAACATCACAAACTATATAGTTCAGTATAGTCAAGGTGTGAATGGGGTAATATAATAATAATTATAAATCATCATCATCATGCCTATAGGTTCATAAAAGTAAGTTACCCCCGAGATACCTACGACATTTTGGGCGCATTTGATTCCATAATTATTATCATCTATTGAATTAAGGACCTGCATATCATTGAATACAACAACTTGAGAAGTTATATTTTCGATGCATCTGACTGGGAATTGATGAAAATAAATTCAATTTTTTGTCTTATGGACTTTCCCATTTCAACATTCAACAAATTTCAATGTTTTTGCCTATTTCACAACTGGATGCTCGTAATTGAGAATAAGGTTGGATTCTTCGAAATCATAACTATATTTCTTATTTTGAACGGCTGAACATTTCTAGCGCCTTCCATCGGGATTTGTTCCTAGAGATGTAGTAAGTTGAGAAAGATAACTTGGTTAATACTGTCTGTTTGTTAATCAAGAGGGTCATATATCCATCTCCTCGTTTATTTTAAATGAAAAATATGATTATCATCTCAATATAGGTGTAGTGGGGACAAATCAGATTGTTAGTTATACTTTGTTTTGTGAAAGGTTCGGAGAAGAGAAATATAACTACATAGAAAGAATTTCAATTGGTAAATTCAAGATTAATTGATGATAACATCCTGAAACTCATACTTTTGCCGACGTCACCATTTGACACTGAGAAGTGTCAAAACTGACCTTGACGAATTTGTGAGAGAAATATTCTTCATTTTTATGTTCAAAACGGAAGCACATTCGTTACCGAAACGTCCAAAGATATTGGATAGTATATAGATAATTTTTCTATATTATCTACTCTTCTCCAAACCATTTTCAAGACAAACTGTTCTGACTCTCAGTTCATCTGATTGAAAATGTTCCAAAAACAGTGACACATCGTGGCAAATCATCTGGTTTGTCCTCACTACACGTTATTGAAATAATACTCATATTCTTATTTCATAGAAACGAGGAGAGAAAATCCAAATTATATGGAATAGTGAATAGCTTGGTAAATTTGGACCAATTGAGGGAACGGATATTCTGACTACCTAAGGATTTCTCATAAGATTTCTCAGCATTGATTCATCTGAAAGCGAAAATTTATCATATCTAATATGATACCTGTTTCAACAGTGCAGAATGTTGAGATGGGGTTCAATTTATACGGTGTATTGCAGATATCTACTTTCTTTGCCGATCTTTATCTCATGGAAATTCAAACATTGAGACATACTCCTTTTCCTAAGCGTTATTTGACTTATAACCGTAACAACAATACAATCATTTGGCATCTTTCATGGAATTTTGAAATTCACTGTGTCTTCATTAAAAGTGTTGTCCTTTTAAAACATAACTTAAATTAGAAAATTATTCTTGATTGACTTCTACACACACATACCAACACCTTTCCACTTATAACTCGATAATTAGAAATTTCCTAACACTTTGCACTAGCATCCAAATAAATTTCAACATTGATAACACATCAATTCACTTGGACACTGAATAAATTCATTTCTTTGCATTCACAACCCATATATCGTATATGTGCGAATGGCCGGCGAAAGATATTCTGGAGAGTGTTGCAAAACTGCCTCACCGCGGCTTTTCTCTTTAAAGCAGGCTATGACTGAGCAGTTGAGCAGATTTCCTTTAGATCTGCGATGATACCTATTAGGATATGTTGCGGTAATGAGGACAATGTAGCATTCGTGAGGATTAGATCATCTATGTATCTCTGCACTTGGGATGAAGCAATTTTAAATCAGCAGGTTGGAAAAATCTTAAGTGAGTACACCACTGAAATCGGAAGATCTTTCGAATTTAAGGATCTATCCGACAAACGTTTTGATGTAATTTCGATATTGGCGTTACTCGGCAATACTGCCAACCAGATACGGAATATGATCGTAAAATAATGAGTGCTCAATTTAGAAAGACGCATTTATAGGTTTTCGTTTTCTAGACGGTTGACGCTTCCATGGTTATGGCTGGCGTCAGACTATGGGATTTCTGATCGAAATGTGCACATAAATAGTGGAAAATCATATTTCAGGGATTCATCACGAAGATCGAGAAGTTTTTCAGTTCTTCGTAATTTCAACGTTGAATATTTCCATACATACACTTACCTGATATATATTTTTAATTGAAGCTTTTTTATCGTCTTCATTAGATGAGTCAGTACCGAGGACTGCAGATTTGTTATCACGTGTTCAACTAGCGAATCGAGCGTATGGTTGTTACCGAAATGATTTAGGTATTCTTTTTGTAGTCAAAGGGCAAGTGGAAAGAATTTTCTCGATTTGATGAAAATTAATACCAATTCCATTCGATTGTTTTGTTGTTAAAAATTACATTCACAAAAGTATGACAGACCGCGGCTGGTCATTTCCTGTAGGAGAAAGTGATGAAAGAAATTAACAAATTCAGTTTTTGAGGAGATTTGAGTATTTTTTAATTATTATAATTATCATTTGAAGTTGAAAAAGTGTCAGTGAGGGTTGCTCAGCAGTGTGTGAGTGTAAATATACAAACAACTGTACAAATGTTGTATTCGTTGAAAAATATAGTTTATACAATAGGTATATCGTGGCATAGCGTTTTCGACTAAGTCATTATCAGTGAATAATCGTCAGGTTGGCAACATTATGGCTAATTACGGTACAAACATATCAAATTTCATTTTCTAAAGTGGGATGAATTATGCAAATTACTAAGCAATGTTGAAGTGAACTTGATGAGTTGAATGAATTTAATCAAGTTCACTTCAACACGACAGTATGGTGGAATAGTAAAACATCCTAAAAATTCTGGCTCTCATAATATGAAATATAAAGTAGTGAAAAAAGAAACTCAAAATTATTTGAAGTGACACAGGTGGAAGTTAAGTTCATTGTGGATGCTCATAGCTGTTAGCAAATAGTAAGTCTTCGCAATTAGTCAGTTTCACTTCATGTTTGCATACAAGAACCCAACAACAATAAACAAACTGTCTTATCTACCTTTAAACGGATGACCGGAGTTCCATCCCACCAATGGTCAACTTGTAGTTTTCAGAAATAGTTGAAACATAACTCTGCTAGTACATTGAATAGTAGACATTGTTGTATTCGAAAGATATCAACATTTGGAAATTAAGTACTGGAAATTCGTTATTAAAAAATAATTGAAACAATGTCTCAAAGGTTGACAAGATCCCAGAACATATCTCAGAATTATTCTCAAACTGCAATCAAGGTTTCAAAAACTACCTCACAAAGTAAAAAATATCCTACAATGAATACAAGCGACGAAAATGAATTTCTTAAACTCAAGAAGGAAATAGAACATCTGCGAAATGCACTAGAATTGAAAGAAAAGGAAGAGTGTGATAGGATAGAACATTACGAAAAAGAAATTCAGATTCTAAAAAAAGATAATGACGACAAGGAGAAGTATATCAAGGAACTCAGGAGAAGAAGTAAAGATTTTGAAGACGAAGCCTGTGAAGCAGAAGAGGGTTTTGTACTCGAGACCCAAAAACACCGACTTACAATAAATGAACTTAATAGAGAAATAAGACAAATGAGAGATAACACTAATTTACTACAAGGGATAAATAAGGAGAATGAATCAAAAGTGAAAAAACTAGAAGAGGACATAAAAGAACTAACCGAAATGAGAAAGAGTATGTTGACTTCAATCGAAGTTCTCACCAAGGAAAATGACTTATATTCTGATGAATTGAAAAAAATTAGGAATGAGTTCCATAAGTTCAAAAATGAAGCACTTGAAAAACAGAAAGAAAGGGAAAAAGAAAATAACGAACATGGAAAGTTAACAACCAATCTCGGAGAAGAGATTATTCCACTGATTAACACCAAAAAAAGTTTTTTGAAGAATGGCAGTACGAATATGAAGATAATGATACTTGCTGATCAACAGGGTCGTAATATTGACAAAATTTTCAAATCGAAGTTGAAAAACTGTAATACTGTGTCGATTTTGAAACCAGGTGCCCATTTTGAATCTGTGGTTGAACATATCGATAGTTTATCTGGAGATTTCAGTGAAAATGACTTTGTTATTGTTGTAGCAGGAATTAATGATTTCAAATGTAATAGAATACCTAATGTAGAAAAAATTACTGCTAAAATTAGCCTCTGCAAAAATACTAATATTGTAATGGTATCTGCGCCCTTTGGAAAATTTGATGAAAAGACTGAAAACAAAATTTTCAATTTTAACTTGAGACTACAAAAATCAATTATTGAACAAGACAATATTTTCTTCATGAATTTGAATATAAACAACTCGTTTTTAACCAAAAAAATTATTGTGAACAGAATAATATCAGAAGTATGTTCTTCTAGCAGTGATAAAAATGCGAAGCTCAACAAAAATATTGTAGGTACCAGTTCTTCAAATAATCTCTGTCAAACACCTGATACTTCAGTAATGAGATCTAATTTTCATCAAAAAAACTCAAATTGTACCAAAAAAATTACAAAAAACTAGTTGAAGAAGACACACACCGGCAGTGTTTTTTGTTATATCTAAATGCTCAAAGTCTCCCTGCGCACTATGATGAAATTTATAATTTAATTCTTGACATAAAACCCCCCTTTATTTGCCTATCTGAGACGCATGTAACGGATCACATATTCGATTCTGAAATTAGTTTTGCAGGTTATAATAATTTGAGGGTTAATAGTGACAGTAGACATACTGGAGGAGTCCTTATATATTTCAGAAAAGATATCAAAATTAGCAATACACAATGTTTGGCAGTACCAAAAAAATATTGGCTAGGTGCAGTTACAGCATTTTATAACGGAAAACACTGCTTGGTGGTGTGCCTATATAGATCGCCTAGTGGTAATAATTGTACAGAATTTTTAAATTTTTTCGAAAGTTGGTGTGAAGAAAATTTATATGACCAAAAAATGATGGTGGTGGTTACTGGGGATTTTAATATAGATTGGCGAAAGAGTGCTCCTGAAAATGATAGATTGAAAAACATGATATCTGATATGGGATGTAACAATATTATTAATGATATAACTCATCCAACTGAGAATGGGGGAAGTTTGATAGATTTGGTGATAACCAATGAACAATCTTTTATTGATTCAGAAGTTATGGAAACACCAAAAATATCAAGCCACAATAATATTATTTTGTATTGTGGTTACTGTTCTAATGGGAAAAAATCTCTAGAATTAGAAAGTAGAGGCCGAAATATAGACTTCAATAAAATTAATGAGAAACTATCAAAGTTAAAATGGAACTACACAATAACTGACATAAATGAAAAATATAGAGACTTCTTCAATAAAATATATGAGATTTATGATGAAACAGCACCAAAAAAAATAGTAAAGATTTATCCACATTATAGAGAATGGTATGATGAAGAAGTGAGGGAAGCAACGAAAAATAGGGATGACTGTTATAAAGAGTGGAAGCAGCGGGGAACAGAAGAACTCAAACACATTTACAAACAAAAAAGAAATATAGCAGTAAAAACTATGAGGAGGAAAAAGCGAGAATATTACGAAAGAAAAATTGAGGAAAATAAAACAAACTCGGTTGAATTGTGGAGGGTAATGAAAAATATTTGTCCGAGTAAAAATGAGAATCATATAATAAGGGAAATAGAAATAAGTGATAATGAAATAATTAGCAATGAGAATGGTATGTCCAACAAGCTGAATAATTTCTTTGTGGAAAGTATCAACAGATTAATAGATAATATTGATTTAGCAGAAATCGACTTTCCGATTGCATCTAATTCAAATCTGGGGGTTACTTATAATTCAATAGAAAACTTCTCACTATTAGATCTCAAAGAATTAGAAAACATTGTTTTTTCGTTCAAAAATAAGGGAAGTCCAGATGACTTGAATGTTGCCTTTTTTAAAAATTGTTTCACAAACCTTGCAGAACCATTACTGAATCTTATTAATACTTCATTACTAACAGGGGAGGTACCCGATGACTTGAAGATTTCTACAATCATTCCTGTTCCGAAGAAAACAAACTCAAATAAAGCCTCGGATCTGAGACCAGTGAACATGTTGACCTCAATTGAAAAAATAATTGAAAAGGCAGTCTATAATCAATTAGTGGAGTATATTGAGAATAATAAACTGTTGAGTAAATATCAATCAGGGTTTAGAAATAAACATAGTTGTGAAACAGCAGTTCAGTGTGTACTAGATGATTGGAAAATCAGCCTAGAAAAAAAAGTGACTACGGTTGCAGTATTTTTGGATCTGCAAAGAGCTTTTGAGACAATACACAGAGATAGATTATTACAAAAATTAGCAGCAGTAGGAATAGATGGGATAGTATTGAAATGGTTGGGAAGTTTTTTGAAGAACAGAAAACAAAAGCTTAAGATAAATAATGAAGTATCAGATGATCTAGAATGCGAACAAGGAGTACCTCAGGGAAGTGTGCTGGGCCCCCTGTTATTTTTGATGTATATCAATGATTTGCCAGAGGTGGTAGGTGAGAGTTCAGTTCATCTATTCGCAGATGATACACTGATTTATTTCTCATGTAATGATCACACAAAACTCACAGAAACTATCAACACAACTTTAAAATCTATTTACAGTTGGTGCTGTGCTAATTATTTGAAGGTCAATGTTGAGAAGACAAAGTACATGGTAATAAGTACAGAAAAACGATTCAAAGTTTTTTGTAACCAAAATTTCGAGATTATGCTAGGTCCTGATAATGTGGAACGGGTCAACCAATTCAAATATCTTGGGGTTCATGTGGATAGGAGATTACAGTTCAGAGAACATGCCAACTTCATTATAAAGACGATAGCATTCAAAATTCAGTATCTATCTCGTTGTGCCCCATATTTGACAAGGTGGGCAAACATTTTACTTTACAATTCATTAGTGCTTCCGCATTTTACTTATTGTTCTACAATTCTATATCTTCTGAAACAGAATGATCTAGCTCGTTTACAGAAACTCCAAAATCGAGCGATGCGCATAATTCTAAATTGCCCAAGACTAACACCAATAAGAGATATGTTGAAGCAACTAGAATGGTTACCAGTTATTCCTTTTCTCCTCTACCAAACATTAATCCTCATTTTCAAAATAAGAAATAAAATTTCTCCAACATATCTACAAGAAAAAGTTTTATACAATGACCAGATCCATGGATACAATACAAGATCTAGATCTAACTTCCATATTCAACAAGTCACATTAACACATACTCAAAATTCTGTTTTTTTCAAAGGACTTGATAGCTATAATAAGCTGCCAGAAGAGATCAAAGATTTAACATCTTTAACATCCTTCAAGACAAAGTTGAAATCATATTTTCTCAATCAATGAAAATCCTAGTAGCCACTTCCTCATTTTGTTAAGATTATTTTAATATTCAGATAACGCCAATGTACATGTGTTAGTATGTTTTAAATTATTTTGTGTATTTATCAAATATTTTTTTTTGGATGTGTATAGATGTGTATATATATATAAATTATGTGTAAATATTTTTTTTGTGACAAGTGTATGAATTAACTATATACCGATCTCATTGTGACTATTGCAATGACATGAAAATGTAAATTAGCCAAATTGACTAAATAAAGGATTTATATATATATGCATTCAGTCAAGTTGGATGCTCAAGAAATGTGGTTTGCAATCAACCCCAGTTCGGGAATAGTACTTCTTTTATCTAGTGCGCAAAATGCTACACTTTGGTGATCCAGAACTGATTCTTTTCAACACGGCTGCGCCCCATTGAAAAAATAGTCGAGATAACCAAAGTATTTCGCGCCCGAGTTACAAACATCATTTTCTCGTCAAACGTCAAGAAATATAGTTCTTAAGAATGTGATTATCTCAATATGAAAAATAGTGAACTGAAAAAAATCTTATATGCTCAGTTTGCATATACAATGCGCGAAGTATGTACGTCAAGCATCGTCTTACTTCGCGCACTGCTTCGCACATTGTGTCGTGCGGTAACGCAGAAAATTAAAAAAAAAGTGTCACTTCGCAAACGTTTGTAGGAGAACGAATTTCATTCAATGTACTATCTGAAGGTTGATATGTTTGTGTACCGTGAATACCCATAATATTTTTATTACCTTAGAGGACTGAATATATTTTTATGAGGAATTTCTTGTCAATCTGACGAGTATGCTCTGCTACGAAATATTGAATATAGTAGAGTGCCAATCGAATCCTATCGTTCACCTCGTGGGAAATCGGAGGTAAAAAGCTGTGACATGGTTAGAATTGTTACCTACCATCTCCATATCCACTTGTCGTCAAAAACTCGTCCTGTGCGTTTGAGGGGTAGGGGGTAATTAATAAAAAAATATGGATTTTTTTTATTCGTGAAAAATATTGATGGGTTTCAGAACTTCCACCCTGCTGAATCTTGATTGTGTGTGACGAGTAGAACAAATTATAGAAAATTTTGAATTTCACTAATTACTTTACGATATATGAGAAAATCATATTTCAAACGGCTATAACTCGAAACTTGTAAATTTTCGTTAAATTGTTTTTCATATACCTCGCATTATCGCTTGTAATACAACAAGTGTATTGATGATTATCGAAACACAATTTACTTCGATTTTGAGAAACAAATTGTGTTGCTTGGAAACCACACGAGCGCATAGCGCGAGTGTGAATGCCTAAAAGCTAGGTTTGATTTCCCAAATCTGCCAAAATCGGGAACAAATCAGGTATGCCTCTTGACCCAAATATCCAACCATAACGATGTTGTTCATTCTTGATCACCTAGTACATCCTTCTAGTCCCTAGGAGCTAGAGTTGCAGTTTAGCTTCTAGGAACTAGAAGTTTTGCATAGCATCATACCTATGTTTGTGCCAGTAATAGAAACATCGAAAGAAGAGCTAATTTTGGTATTGAAGTGGACGAGTTTTGTGTCGGTTGCAGAAAAATATCTAGTTACTACGTTGCAAAAAACTGATTGCAGGAATCGTTGCTCAATGATAAATAGTGTGAGAAAAACGTTGCTATCTCTCGAACTATGGCCCACCTATAGTTTTGCATAATTTGCATTGCACAATCTATTCAGTAATAAAGTGTTTATGGTTGCCTCCTCATACGTGACAATACTGAAAACATCTAGAATATGACGTGGATTCTTTTACATCAGATATACATCTTTGGAACATGAAGAGAAACATATTCATCTGATACTTTCACATAGGAGATAATATATTCTGACATCTGGTAGTGTTCAACTATCTCCCAGAGAGTGTTCACATGAATCAGAAGTGGCTTTTTGTTAGAAATCGGAATGTTTGTGTTTTGTGACTATACGAATACAAATATACGCAAATATACAATCATGATTCATTCACATATTCAACTCCAAAAACATTCAACGGCACCATCTATTGAAATGAATATTCTATCAGAATGTTTGTCAATAATTGAATTTTGAGGTTATGGCAGCCATAATTAATGGGGCGATATCGGCCGACCGCGATTACCCCATGTTAGAAGGTCTTATACATATTGATATTTTCCCAGATGCCAAGAAGTAACGAAAGGAAAACCTTCGAAGCAGCATCGTCAGCAAATCAAATGAGTTATGCTCGAAACGGGATAATGTAATTGAGGTCTATCATGTGTTCGAATTGGACCCACAAAACCTGCACATAAATGACAAAAAAAAATCATTTCGTCTGCGATTGTTGTGCATCAATTACCTCACTCACTAATGTCATATAAGGTAATGATGGCCACGGCAGTAATTACCTTACATTCCTGGGACAAATACAGTGAAACATTCATTTCCATTTCATTTCATTTCACAAACAAATATAATAGGTTTCACATATGAAATATAATATATTCAATCACATTTTGCTCAACCCTTTTCTCCGAATTGAGAGGTGGATATGAAGAATTAACAGAGCATGTGAGGCTGAAGGGGCCGCCATTTCCCCAAGCCCCCTTTATTCTATATATTTTATGAAGATACGTGAATTCAGTAAGTGAGATTTCATGTACGCAAACTGACTTCCTGGATGTTCAACTCAATAATAAGGATACACCAAAACACTCGATTAAACTATGTCCATTCCTATTGATCCTAATGGTTACCGAAATGAATATCGTGGTTAGTTATTCCAGCTGGGCCAGCAACATATCTTCCAACTGAAATACTTCCAGATGGTCCAGATACAACAGTATTCTCAGACTCATGAGCCAAAACTCCTCTGTTCAATATTGGAGCAGAGTGGACGACAGCAACGGGAACATGTAGGGTAGTAACTGCTGGAGTGGCCAGAACTGGTGCTGCGTGGGCTGAAACTACAGCATGCACAGCTGGAGATGCATGCTCTATGCTGGATGAGTGTTCGGAAATTGTAGTTCTTGATCCAAAAACTGGAACCGCATGAGTAGTTACTACTGCGATATCATGGGCAGTCACTACTGGGGCAATGTGAGTAGCGACAATAGCATTCACAGCTGGAGATGGATGGGCAATGCTGGTAGCACGTTCAGAAATTGTGGTTCTGTCACCAAGAACTGGTATGACATCAGCTTTAACTATTGGTATCGTAGGAGTAGGTACTACAGGTACAGCATGAGCAGTCACTACTGGTACGACACGTGTGGCATCTGAAGCATGTATGGCTGGAGATGGGTGAGCGACGCTAGTTGAGTGTTCAGAGATAGTGGTTCTGGATCCAAGAACTGGCAAAGCATGGGCAGTCACTACTGGTTCGGCATGAGCAGTCACTACTGGTTCAGCATGAGCAGTCACTACTGGTACAGTTCGTGTAGCATCCACAACATGTACGGCTGGAGATGGGTGGGCGACGCTAGTAGAATGTTGAGAGATCGTTGTTCTGGATCCAAGAATTGGCGTGGCATGTACTTCTATGACTGGTGCAGCATTGGCAGTTACTACTGGTACAGCATGGGCAGTCAAAACTGGTTCAGCGTGTGTAGCAACTATAGCATGTACAGCAGGAGATGGGTGGGCGACGCTAGTAGAATGTTGAGAGATAGTTGTTCTGGATCCAAGAATTGGCGTGGCATGTGCTTCTATGACTGGTGCAGCATTGGCAGTTACTACTGGTACAGCATGGGCAGTCACAACTGGTTCAGCGCGTGTAGCAACTATAGCATGTACAGCAGGAAATGGGTGGGCGATGCTTGTTGAATGTTCAGAGATAGTGGTTCGGGCTCCAAGAATCGGTGTGGCATGAGTTTCGATGACTGGAACAGCATGAGCAGTTACTACTGGAGCAGCGTGTGCTGTCACTGTTGGAGCAGAGTAAGTTGCTACAACTTCTGGATTAGGAGCAGCATGGACACTTACAGCAGGAGCTGAATGAGACACAACAGTTTCTCCATGTTCGGAGATTGTTGTTCTTGATCCTAGTATTGGCACTGAGTGACGATCCACCACTGACAGTGATGGTACAATTACTCCTGCATCAACAAGTGCAAAGAATTGGATGACTGCAACGAGCGCCTGTAATACAAATTCTCTAGATATTCAAAATGACATATCAGTTCAGTATCATACAGTGCTTACGTAAAGAACTGAATAAACTAAGTTCTAGCCAAATTATCCATTTCCCAGAAATCTTCTGAAACAGGTCACAAGGAGAAATCAAATATGATGGATAATTCACGTTTGAGTTCTGATGGGCACGATAATTCTTTCGAATGAAAAACCCTATATGTAACTCAATTCTTGAGATCATTATGGAAAGCGGAATTCAAAAATGTATAACACATGTGGTTTGTATAAAGTGCGTCCATTAAATTCAATGCTCTCATGAAATAGTGGATGAATTTAATTCTATTTTCTCAGGCGGAACGTAATATCATAAATTCAACACATCAATGGGAATTCAAATATACAGGGTGCCCCACGTTTGAGTTATGACGTATGCGACAAATTTTCCGAACGGAATACCCTATAATATTATATCTCTATGAGAAGCTTGATTCAGAATTATATCACACATAGGGTTTGTATACAGGGCGTCCGTTGAATTCAGTAATCTCGTAAAATGAAAGTTACCATTGAAAAATATCGACGACAATATTTCTTCCACACGAATAAATCTGTATGTATCAATTGAATTTGAAAACAGGGTCTGATGGAAATGAAATTTCACGGCATTTCAAATATTCTCCCAATGAATTACTTATGCTTTGAATGCTCTCCAAATTCTTCCACAACTTTTCATGCAGATTCTGAGAATAGAATAATTCGTAGGGTATTCCATTTGAAAAAAAATAGCGTGGACGTTATAACTCAAACGTGAAAATCCCTGCATATCCAAGTTTTCCTTATGGATGTGGAAAATTGGAAATGAAAATTGACACGTTTGAGGGGATCCCTCAAAAATGGATAGTTTGGATAAAAAGGAATTCATTCATTACTCTACGAAATCACTGGTTATTCAACTCCTCGCATACGGGCTTTTTGTAGAGATTATTTACCATCATGATCTATAAAACTTGTAGTGAAACCTCAACAGATACCTACAGTCATTAGGGAGAATATTCGAAATAAAACGAGTGCATTCAGTCTTTTTTAGGATATTGAAGGTGTATTGTCCGAGTGAACAATGATTATTTATCGAAATAATATAGGGTGAGTCAGACTTAGACCGACAAACTGATCAATCTGTTTATGGATGTACGAGAAATAAATATTCATCATACAGGATGTTCAACAGATATAATCCAATGTTCTACGTGGCATATATCCAGGGAAGTAATTGTGCGTTGAATATTCAGAATGATATAATGTGCCGTCTCAGGGAGACTACAATTCCCAACTCCAGAAGATTTTGTTTTCAAATTCTCATCGTGTGTTCAATAGATATAATTCAAGGTTCGTCGTGACATATAGCCAGGAGAGTAGTTGTTTTCTGTTGAATGAACCGATAAAGAATTGATAATTCTATCATAAAGAGAATGAAGAGAACGTATTTCTTTATAGGTATATCGATATACCCATTTTTCATGTTCATAATTTTGTCTGAGAATATTTTTTTTCAATGCTCAGACTAATTACTTACTCCATTATGGAGAGAAGATGTCCTATCGATTCATGCCTCAAAATCCATCCGTTACGGAATACAGGGTGGCAAAAGTACGAAAAAGATGGAGGTTAATATTACTTTCTTCGAAACCCCTGGAGGAGATCGAATTGAACTTGGTATACTATTCCCGATTGATCATTGTAATCACATGGACTATTTTCATTCTTTGAGTTCGATTTGTAGTAGCGTAGTAACGGTCTTATGACGCCACATTTTTCTTCATATACTTTTCAGACAGATAAGATGTGAAATTGGTGTGTGTCAGTTTAGGCATTCTATACTTCGCCTGAATGCACATTGCACAAGCCGAAACGTAGAGGTTACAGAGATATTTGCGATAATTCTACATGTCTCGAGGTAATATTGAGTAGGGACCCAATTTGCTGCGTGCCATAATTGCAAAACGAATATTTTTCACAAGATATCAAAACAATGCAGAATCTTCTGAACATTATTAAGATTTGTGAACATTGACAACATTGAGAACAAGAGTTCAAAAAAATCCAACACCTACCTCCTCTGCCTATCCCCCTAGGTACGCTCGATGTTCCACGAACATTATAGGAATTTCCATTCGTGCGCTCCGAGAGATAAAAAAATCAGAAGTGAGTCCACAAACCTACTTTCAATTTCACAAGTTATCTCAAAGTGTACTGTTCATTCTGAGTTGTTTCTCAAAGACGCCACCTGTTCGAGATCCTATTTATTAAATATGTGAACAAGATTGAGCATTACAATTTTTTCTAGAACATATAGCAATATTATCTGAATGAAAATATTCCTGAGAACTTTCAACCTCCCAAAAATCATGACAAAATTCCAACTTCCAATTCGAACTCAATTGGAATTTCCTCTCGTGCGCTCCAAGAGATAAAAGAGTTCAAGCAAAATGTGGCGACAAACGACCGTAACTATACCCTCGGTAATCAGAATTCGGAAATGCAAACTCAATGTGATTACATTGATCAATCTGGAATAGTTTAGATACCTACCAAGTTTCAATTTGATCCTCCAGGGGTTTCAAAGAAACTAATATTTACCAATATTGTTTTCAGTACTTTTGACTCCCTGTATCTCAGAAAAGATGCATTCCAGGACATACGTTGAAAGGGCATTTTCACATCAATTGAGGTAAGGAATGATACGTATATAAAGTTTGTCAGACTTATTTTGACTTACACTGTATATAACCACAGTACGAAGTTCTTGATCACAACTGACGATTTATTGTATAAATTCATCCCAATCAGTCCCGTGAGAATGAAATACTTTTATGTCATGCTGGAATGTACTGAATGAATTTATTATCCAAAACACTTTCTGAATCTGAAAAATCACCTGAAACAAGTCAATTTTCTATCTCAATTTGCCACATTCGCAATATTCTTTTTACCTTTTCACATTCTCACTACTGAGATCAATTGAGTTAGAATGAGGTAACACGAATCTGAGTTGTCGATTGAATAAAAAAAACACGTTTTCATCTGTCAGGATAGGCAAGGAAAGAAAACATAACACAACATGATCCATCCAAAATGTAAAATGGCTGAGGAAATCAATGAGGAGCATAGAAATATCATTGTAGTGAGTATTCATAGGATTCAACCAGTGGGCTGAAACTTCAAAGCTGAAAGTATGTCAAAATAAAAATTTAACTTCACAATCTCCAGCACGAAACCACAGAATTACTGGAATTAATCTAGTCTCATCTTTTTCTCATTTCAACGCCAGATGAATAGCAAGGCTCAGTTGGGGTGAGGGGAAAGAAATAGTCTCAATAAGTTCTTAAGACAACCCCCATCAGACTTAGATTAATTGAACATGTAATACAACTGAGATATTGAGCTGCACTGAGAATCTTGGTTAATCTCAGTCAAAGTAGGTAACAAAAATATTTATATTTCCATCTGAATGAATGCTAGAATGTGGAAGAAATCTGACGTGATGCGTTCTCTCCATAAGTTTGTCTTTTCATTTTTCACGAATATGACTTTCAAGAGAGCACTGAATTCAATGGGCGCACTGTATATGAATTACAAACCCTATCTGTGATATAATCTCCAAATTCAGTTTTTCATGAACATTCTTGAAGTTGAAAACAACTGTGGCCACCGCGCATAATCAATCTTTCATAATAAATTTGGCAAATTGATATAGAAAATCTACTTGTTTCAGGAGATTCTTCAGAAATAGATATAGTTTCGCTCAACATTAGATTATCCAGTGGATACGTTATGAACGCACTGTAAAGGTACCAATAGTATGTATAATAGATGTTCTTCAAAAAATGGGAGAAATGATCGTTACAAAACTAGAAATTGTGATGAATGTAACAGAAAGAATGTTCGGAAACTCATGCAAGTGTATTTTAATCTCTCCATGAAGTTCATCATATGTATATTATCAGATAGATACTCGACCAAATCTTATATCTATCATCCTCAACTAACCAGATGACGTTTAAAATAATTATGACTATGATTTGGAACTATTTGAATTGAGTACCTAATGTACTGGATATAATTTGCTATATATTTGAAATAGAGCAATAATTCATAAGAAAAAGAGTTAACGTGTTAATGATGTTAATGATTCACGAATCCACTCATAATTTTCATTTGAATAGCATTAGGAAATCATTCGAACATATGATTTCATGAAGTCGATCATTTCAGTGTGTTATATTTCATTCTCCAAATATTCGAATGGACTATTGAAGATAACGAAATACCATACTCACACTGAAAGTCATGATGGTTCTCATGATTTGTCACCTGGATAACTGATTTCAGAGACATGACTATCGGTTCTTATATATTGAGAATTTGGGTGGGTAACCTTGTCTTCACAATATTTCAATAACAATGAGCACTGTGAGCAGTATATTTGATTTGAATCGATATTGAAGTTTCCTATAATCAGCGTATGAACATATTTTTTATATTCAGAAATGTGTATGGTAGGCATGTCATTTCCTTGAGAACTCGTTAGGGAATGAAACAATCTCTGAAACGATTATAATATGTATTTTGGCTGATCTATCATATCATGTAGGTTGAAATTCTCGACCGGAGATAAATGTTTCTATATATATACCTGTGTCGAAGATGAAGAGGGTCAAAATGGGCACTTTCGAAATTGAAAGAAATACAGATTTGGTTGAATTGGGAAAAAGTTGCGCGATTGGAGGACTAATCAAATGACTTCCAGAAATATCTGCTATAATTCGACCAAACCTCTCATTGTTGAAAATTTTGAATTAACCGATATGAAATCTCATAACCAATCAGAAAATCACAACTTTACCTCAGATGGATTTTTGAGATATTGTAATACATATAATTCCTATTCCTGTTCATTCTTCCATCATGATTCGAGTGAAAAATGAGCATTCCATGTTTTTTTTTCTAATGAATATCACTTGATAGTAGTTGTTCCAACCGCAGTGGGCAGATTTTCAATAGAGCAGTCATAAATAAAACACTTTTGGAACAAAGTTTCCTAAACAGAGTGAGTCAGTTTTTGAAACTAGACTTCATCAGTTCGACGAATACATATTTTCCAGATGAAGAGTTCATGTAAACATAAATGCATGGGAGTTTCGTTTTCAATATACTATACGAGTAAAAATTCGAGAATTTCTCAATGTTTCTCCAAGTTCTCTTCTACAATTTTCAAATTGATCAATTGAAATATGGTATAACCATTACTTCTGAGGAATTCAATATTTGGGGCTATCATGCGATTTCGATTAACTACAGGGTGACACACATTTGGAAGTTGTACCTAATTCAACCTTCTTGAACTTTTTTGCCTACTGCCTCTGCTGTCGATGGAATATCGATTCAGATCCTCAGTTTAATTGCGATATTTTATGTTGCTTTATATGTTTTTCGAAAACTGTACATGGATTTTGAGACAAATGCAAAATATAATTCACTTGTGATGAAGCTTCATTTTCCGAACACACTCTATTCGACATTTATGAATGATTGACTAGAGAACCTGAAATGATCAGAATATTTCATGAGATGTGTTGATCAAACTCAATGGCACAAAACTTGGGAAAATTCACGAATATCCTATGCATATATATGTTCAAATTAGATTTTTATCTTCTATATGAAACTTCCAATATCTCGAGAACAGAGGTTTTCACTGAGGTTGTGGTTTTATTTTTCTGACAGGTTACGGACTTGCTTTTCACCAGGTTATAGACTCGCTTTTCACCAGCTATATTCATGATAGATGTTTCTCAATTACAATTACAGAAGATGCTTTATCCGTTATTGCATATTTCTAGCGTTTTTTTCTCTCCTCGTTAGTAGATAATTGAAATATGGGTATTATTTCAATATACGTGTAGTGAGAAAAAGCCAGATTGTTCGTCCTGACATGTCACTGTGCTCGAAAATGTTTTCATAAGAAAGCCTGCAAGAAAAATCTACACACACATCCCAGTGTGAAAACTTATACCTGACAACGAGCCTGACAACAATTAATAATTGAAAAATATTTTCCATTTTTATGTTGAAAATGGAAGCAGATTCGTTCCCGAAACGTCCAAAGATGAATTAATTTTTTTTTAATGTCTCTATATACCTATATTTCCCTTCTCCAAACCTCTTCCGAAACAAAGTGTTACTGACAAGCGAATGAATAATTCTTCTTTAGGTTATCTACTGTCAATACTATTTACCTTACGACAATTTGTGAAGAAATATTTTCCATTCTTTATTTAGAAAAACAAGGCATATTGGTTCTCAAAACGCACAAATATGAGTGGGGATTTGATACTTTTTTATATTCCTGTACTTCCCTACTCCAAACCAAACAAAGGGTTATCGACAAGCGAATGAATTTCTGTTCCAGGCTCTCTGATAGAAACATTCTTAAACTAAGTGATATTTTGAGGCCAACAATCTGGTTTGTCCCCATTACACGTACATTGAGATGATATTTTCATTTCATAGTAACGAGGAGAGGAAATCCGAAAAATCAGCATTGATAAACTGAAAATTGTTTATTCAGGACATACCTATCATTGAACTGTGGGAATTCTCGATCCTCATTCTCCTCATTACTTTTTTACAGTAAAATATTGGATAACTGAAAGTGCAGTTCATTTCAAATGACTATCAGGTAATCGATTGAGTTGATATGAAGCAATGCAGAACTGTTGATTCACTTTTTGCCGATGACTGATTCTTATATTCCTGTTGAATTCGATTGGAAATCGTTCTGAGACGGAAACTACATTTTCCATTGGGGAAATTAAATTGAAAAGTTTGTGATTTCCACTTCACTGCAGTGAGAGTATTTTGTCGCACTCATTTATTCAAAGGAATTGGAAAGTTTGTGAAGATTTCCAGCTACACGTCTCTCTTTTCCCCTTGTATCGAGTGTAAAGAATCTATATCGCTCTCTACTCATATCAAGAGTCCTATCCTAAGATAATTGAAGCGCTTCGTAATGTTCACACTTGAAGCCTGGCGAAGAGCGTTAGTAACATTTTCATATTATTCTGGCATCTCACAAGAAAATCAATATTATCATATGGAACATATGGGATATTTTCATAATGAAGTCGGAACATATTTCAAACTAGTTCTTCCATATATCCAAAAAATATAGGAGAACGAAGTCGGAGGTACATCTGCGCTTTTACAAAGATATGAAAAACTATACAACAAAAGCTATCGTCCGCGAAAAAAAAGCATATTTTAGTTATGAACTAAATAATTGCAGGTCGCATGAAACATTGGAAATTTTGAAAGATACAAAACTGGTACATGATAAAGGGAGTGGTATCCCAGAAGAGTCGAAAAAAGTGAATGAAATAAATAATTTTTTGATAAACTCTATCCCTGCAATGTCTCCTCCAGAAAATCTCGTGAGTTTCTACAAAAATAATGTCCTTATCAACTCCCAATTCAATTTCATAGAAATAAATGATTTATTTGTTGATGAATGTTTCTGTAAAATCAAGAGTAATGCAACTGTTATGGATGGACTAAACATGAGATTGATCAAGTTATGTTGCCCACATATTGTGCCCTACATTACGCATATTGTAAATTTCTGTTTGCTGGAAAATGTTTTTCCATCATCTTGGAAAGAGGCAGTTGTTCGAGTTCTTCCAAAAAAATCAAATCCTGTAGAATATAAAGACCTTCGTGGTATTAGTATATTACCTACAATCTCAAAAATCGCGGAACGGGCCATTGAAAAACAGATTTCAGAGTTTTTGTCTGAACAGAACTTGCTACCGCCAGTACAGTCGGGATTTAGGAAAGGATTCAGTTGCACAACCGCCTTGCTGCACGTTGTGGATGACATTATTAGAGCGACAGACCATGGTTACTGTACAGTATTGGTACTATTGGATTTTAGTAGAGCTTTCGATACGATTAATCATGGATTACTCCTTCACATTCTCCATTACATAGGATTCTCTGAAAACTCTGTTACACTACTAGAGATCTACTTGAGAAATAGAAGACAAAAAGTTTGTATCGATGGTACTAATTCGGAAAATATGTATCTCAAATCAGGTGTTCCTCAGGGATCTATTTTGGGGCCTTTACTGTTCAGTATCTACACATTCAATCTCATAAACAGTCCCAATCAATGCAATATACACCTGTATGCTGACGACACACAGATATATTGTAGTTTTCCGTCACTTATGTATGAGAATGCTAGTCAGGTAATCAACAATGAATTGAATTCATTTATTAATGCTGCAACTGATCATTGTCTTATTGTCCACTCTGATAAATCTAACTTCATTACCTTCGGTCCTAAACATATGAGAAGTACGGTAAATAGCAATATTGTTATCAATGTGATGGGCTCTAGGCTTGATACGGTGGATGTTGCAAAAAATCTTGGCGTGCTTCTGGATTTTAATTTGCGGTTTGAGCATCATGTAAGAAAGCTTATTCGACGAGCTTACGCTTCAATCAAGCTGATATATGGAAACAGGCACTATCTATCCTCAAAATTAAAAATATCACTTTGTGAAGCATTGGTGCTATCGCACTTCAACTATGCTGACGCTCTGTATGGTCCCCATTTAACTGACATATATAAGCGTAAAATTCAGACAGTACAAAATTCTTGTCTTCGGCTGATATATGGTATCAGAAGAAGGCAAAGAATATCACACGCATTGAAACGGTCTGGTTGGCTGAATATGGAGAACAGGAGGATTCTACACGCTAACGTTCTTTATCATAAAATTATTTCAAGTAAAACGCCATCATACTCACACAGAAAAATAACATATCGTACTGATATTCATAATTCAAATATAAGATTTAGATATATTTTAACGCCGCCCATATTCAATTCAATACCGAATTCTTCAAGAGATCATTCAGCTTTCACATATGTAGAAACTATAACTTTATTCCAAAGGAAATCAAATTATTGAAAACCTCCAGATTCAAAATGGAACTAAATACATTTTTGTTGAATTACCATCAATAATTATCGAGCATTTAGTAGTATTGATCGGACATACACTACCATACACTACCTTCATAAATTCCTTTATTTTTCTCTCTCTTTCCCCTTTCACCTATACATGATACTGTTTTCATTATTTTTCAATATTTTTCTCTGTCTCTCTGTTTGCTCGCTCACAGGGAATTTTTTCAGGTTAAGCGGAAGAACAGCTTTCGTTTAGTTCTGCTAAATGAAAGCTGAACTTCGCCTTTTATTTTGTTTAAACCATTATGGATACAAATTGTAGTTTCT